AAAAAACGTTGAACTCATTTGCCAAATAGAAATAGTGTGCAGAGGCATACTAGCTAAAGACACCAGACAAGCGGTTCAAGTTCTAACACAGTATGTTTATTATTATGCAAGTCTGCTGGATATCAACGCAAAAGGTATGTTTGAGTTGGCTACGAACTAATCTGAGTGAGTTGTTTTTTGACGTTTCGCATAACCCAATAATTTAGTTGTAATTATACAAACCTCTAAGCTAAACAACACTGAAGCCGATAAATGCACTGTGTTAAACTAACACTCTCAACTCTCACTCAAATTTCAATTAGAATTTATTATTGTTATGAAAACCATTTGAAAATCTTTGCGGTTACGATCTATAGTCTTCTTTCGCAACTTTCATTATCAGATTATGAGTTGCGAATATATGGCTGCGAAAAGCATGTAGATACGAAAGTGGTTGGGTGCTAAATTTAAATAGAAATATTTAAATGCCGGCTAATAAAACTAATTGCTAATTAAAATAGAAATAAAATCATACTTTTAAAGACGAATTCGGTCATTATATGTATAGAGTGATCCATAAATATAGCACGCGACTACACAATACAACTATTTGGGTTTTAATTATAGCCCCAGAACACCGCAGTCACCACCAACACAATAATCACGTGAAGAAAACTTGGTAGGATCGATATTCGTCACGTCATGTTAACGTGATTATCACGGCGCTGTATCATAGTAAAATGACGTCTATAAACGATGTACGCTGATGACAAAAAATTTAAAATGTCACATTTTGTCGGCTTCAAATAATTTTTTAAAGAAAACTGTTTCATACGATTAACATAATAAACTATTACACTGAGAAGTAAATAGTAAAATGTTATTAAATTAAAGAAATAACTACAACATTAAAATAGTAAAAATACTAAATTCATACAAATAGTAAAGAAAACATACATAATTATAAATGATCATTCATCGATGAATAAAAATGTAAAGCGTCCTATTTAAATTTAAGTTTTATTTACATTTTTTAAGATTTAACGTTGCCGAAAGCCTAACAATCGGCAGTTTAGAAATATTATAGAATGTGGGTGATTGTTCTCCTTCAAATTTATATATACAGGGTGTTTCCTGATTGAGTGAGCTGAGCTGATTTTAAGAGAAAAGTTTAATATGAACATGTGATTCCAAGCAAAAATGCTTCCTTTCTGATCTACAGGGTGTTGAAGCTTACAAGTCAGTCTTACGAGTCACATCATTTATAAAGAAAAGCGATATTGGCCCTGTAAAAAAATATTTTAACAGTTTATTTTACGTTTTTTCACACAGTTCTTTTTAAAAGAGATCTCGTACGAGTTATATGCACTACTTTTGTACACCTCTTGTATATCTTAGCTTAGTCAGTTGCAACCTGAGTACTTATGTATTTGCTGATTGTGCTTTTATTGTTTACCTTTGCAGTTGTATGACTTAGCTTTAGGATTCTGTTCGAGACCTTTGTCGTGCTCAGATCTTTGTATCAGTTGCTCTGAATAAATTTGTCTTTTTTTAAAACAGTTTATTACGGTGTTGATTCATAATTTGCGTTAATAAAAGTTATCTGTTACGCTTTTTCCATACCTGCCTCCATTTGATCACAAATTGCGATTTTTCTATTGAAAAATAAATGTATTTATCATTCTAATTGAAATGTTGCAAAATATTTTTGATAAATAATATCTAATAATTTGCCCTTTTATAGGGGAGAGTGGGCCACCATACGACTAAAAAAGTTAAAGATGGTTTTTTCCAAACACTTATGTTAAAGACCAAAAGTATGCAACAATTTTGATTTCCACTTTATTGTCTACTATACGCAAATTACTGCAAATCAAACATTAATTTGGACAGACTAATGATTTTTTATTATTATAAAACAATATTGGCATTTGTGGAAGTTATAAACATTTTCAATATTGATGAAATATTAACAAATACTTTGCCAATAAATATTTTTGTATCAGCCTTTTTTATAAGTTTTTAATTTGATACGATTGAGGAGGAATGGTTCCTGTTATTGAATCACTCTGCATAATCTAATTGTTGTAAAGCTGTGTAATTTTGTTTGATTTTCAATGAAATATATTTCGATTTCTTAGATGTTGTGGTAGGAGTTTTTGAAGACGACCATCCACTATGGATATTAAGTTTATTCCTCGTGCCTGCTTTGTGTTCCGGACACACAGTAGTTTTGCACGTTGCTACCAAGTTTGCAGCTATTGTGGCGTTCATCGCACAGCTTGCAGTAAAGGCTGGGTAAGCAATAAGAAAACATTTACCTCTAATTAAAGTATCTAAATAATTCTATTTGTTTTACATTATCTTTAGAATACCTAAAGAAGCTCTTCTGTTAATACCATCAAACGATGGAGAATTGCAGCATTATTTGAGCCAAAAAGAGGTATCGGTAGTCGCCTTGTTTGTTGATGTGATGGAGGAGAAATATCGGGGAATCAACAGCTCGCACAAGAAAATTTTAATTTGTAAGAACTTTATTAGTTAGTTTTTATCAAAAAATTATAACTTTGAAGTGCAAAAAATCAGGCCAACCCCGAAAAACTTCTACTAAAGTAAACTAATGCAAAAATTAACAAAAGTAAAGAAACTCGGTATGAAGTTGGTCAGGACCCGATTCCGTTGGCACCGACCGCCTTCCTTAACTTCAGACATGAAACTAATTGGATTAAGTTTACTACAGATTATAACGAAATTACGATAATTTTTTTTTGTTGTTTTTTGAGAAGGCAAGCCCGTGGCGCTTGTGTAGTAATACGGGAACGGTTGGATCGCCAACCCAATAACTCCCCGGGCAGTCACCTACTTGGAAAACATTACTCATAAAAAATGTGGCAACCTTTTTTTTCAGGTGTTAAAATTCCAGTTCCGGGACTCGTAACGCTTTAATCTGCCCCTAAGTTAAATGCTAAGCGTGATTCCAAGTGCGGCGCAGTGAAGCGCGATGCGCTATAATTCATTAGCGCCCAGAGCAGCAACAACTCAAAAGCGCAACTCGACTCATCAATACCAACTTTCAATACGGGCTGTTGCAAGTAAAAAGCTGCAATTATCAAACAAAACTCAAACAAAAAACTGTTTTTTCATCCTCCTTGTGTTTAAAACACGAAGAAACTGTTCTACATCGGTATGTTGGCATTTTCGGCAATTTAGAAGGCGTTTTAAACTACGCTATCTTCGAATGGAAATGCGCCCCTGCTTGATACCCAGTGCGCTACGACAATTTCATAACTCGAGCTTCTTTTCGCTTGAAAACTTATTAAAAATGATAACTAAATAATATATTAAAAAGCATATTTTTAGCTGGGACGCACTCGCCACAATGGGGCGGTTTCACGAGTTTTACCTGTTTTTTGAACTTCGTGTGGGTCAGTCTTAAAAATTCTGTCACCAGCTTGATTTAGTAGCTTGTTTTATACCAACGTTTGTTTCAACTCTTTTAATGTATCAAATAGTTTCAGGGCAGAAAACGTCCATGCTTGTATTTGATAATGCGGATTTAGATTCTGCAGTTGAGAATGCCATAAAAGCAACGTGGGATTATCGAGGAATGGTAAATGTGACTAACAACTAATAGATAAAATTTAATAAAGAAAACATGATATTGTAGCTTCCATGGTCGATAGATTCGGTTATAATACAGGAAAACGTATTTAAAGTATTTACCGAAAAGATGAAAAATAGACTGAAATCTTTTCGAATTGGTGACGGAGATGATAAGCTCGCGGATTTTTCATATCCTAATAATCCCACTGCCGTGGCTGCATTGAAAGCCACTGAAATGGGAATTGAAGTGTTTCGACCAGAAAATACTTCTCCCAATAATTTTTGTGCATTGACTCTTATAATAGGTGAGTTAATTTTTATATTGTATTCCGATTGAACAATCTTGTGTCAAGGTTCTAGAATAAGCACAAACCACGTTTTAACTCCGTCGGAAAAAAACAGCACCTTGACGCTACTGCCCTTTAGATCAGTAGATGAAGCAGTTAATTTAGCTAATAACAGTAGACAAGGCATGGGTATTTCAGTTTGGTCTGAAAATGTTGGATTAGTTAATGAAGTCGCCAGGAAACTCAAGGTATTTTTTTTTGTTTCAAATATAGCTTGCGTGCGCTCAAGACATGACTTTTGTAACAGGTTTCTGTCGATTAAAGTAAAGTTTAAAATTAAATATAAATAAAAATATCATTTATGGAGGAAATTTTTTTGCGGCTTAAGTGGACAAATAATTTTGGGAATAGGAAAAATTAATTGTCCGGTTAAGCAACGAAAAAATAACTTATTTGACACTAAAAATCTTCATTTATAATTAGTGAATCTTATTCTGTCGCATCATTGTTCGATCTCGATTTCTAAGCGCAAACCTGCCTTACGTTGTTGTAATTGCACCGCGACGCAATTTGCGTGCAGTTTTTTTTATCATTTATTATATATTTACTATTAAAATGGCTTTTTGGTAATAAAAAATAAACGTAACTGATAGTGACTTTTTTGCTATAGTTTGATTTTTCTGACTCACATTTCTCGAAGAATATAAAAAGTTTTCAATACGTAAATGTATAATAATCTTATTATAAAATTCAAGCAGCAAGACGAAAAAACTGACAAAATGCATGCAAGTTATTCTAACGAAAATATTAATGATAAATTATAATATGTAATTATAATAAACATGGAATAAACCAAGAATCAGCAAGGACACTTTATTATTGATTGGTTCAGGGAGAAATGTACCGTTAATTTACAATATTTCTTAATATATTGCCGATCTTATATTATGTCTGCTGTTATAACTTATTATTTTTATTTTGTAAATTAATTTAACTGCTAGTTAATCAATTCGCAAAGATGCTGTCGGACTATAAAAGAACATTTTATAGCAAAACATAATTTTAAAGAGATGTTTAAATAAATTCTACATTTCCGAATATTAATTTAATTGATAGCATTTTTTTATTATTCTTACTAATTTTTTACAACTATTGAAAAACTGATTGTATAGTGGACAAGCCATCAGACATTTTAAGTGCTACATCAAGAAAATAAACCTTTACTTAACTTTCATTCTTCAAAGTTAAATAAGGGTTTATTTTCTTATTTACTTATTAAATGTATTTTAAAGGTGAGCAATGTCTGGATTAATGGGCATGGTCTTTTCTCTCCCGATGTGCCACTAACCCCGATTAAAGATAGTGGCGTAGGATACTTTGGAGGAAGACAAGGTAAATCATTATTATTTTTAAAGTAATTTTGGTTCACAACAATTTGTCTTTCAGGTCAAAACGAATATAATTCACTAAATGTGGCTGATTCATCTGTACCAGTAGAATTGCCAAACTCGTTTAAAACTGTCGATTCCATAAAAAATGCAATATCTAGTGGTAAAAATGCTAGTGCTGCATGGAGCAAATACTCCAATTTGGATAAGGTTAAACAGTTTCTGGTCCTGGCCGATTATCTTGAGACGAACAAAAAGAAATTGATGTAACATCAGATGTCGGATAATTTTCCTTTTTTCAAGTCAACACATTTTAGTAAAAAAGTACCCGAAAAGTGGCTCGCCAGTTTCAAAGCCAATTTGGACGTAGTATTAACTGAATCACATGAACCTGGAAATGCAACTGTAGGCGGATATGGTGTGACCACATTAAAATCTCCTAAAGGAACCATAGTGATTGAAATGCGAAACCCAATTGACTCCCATAATATAAAGTTACTGCTAGCAAGCTTATATGAAGGTAAGACATTGTGACCGTGATTCAATAATTATAAAATGTTAATTTGAATTTGTTTAGGCAACGCCACTATTGTGCTTAATGAGACATCGGAAACTCAAGACTTTTACTCAGAGTTGTCTAAAAAATTGCCAGCTGGAATTCTCACAGTACTTTCGTATAGCATAGAAGCAGTAAGAACAGCTTCAAAGCACAAAGAACTAAACGTGTATTTTTCACAGCAAAATATTGTGTTTGGAGCACTTCCTTTAAGCGAGTCTAAGCGTTTTGCGTTGGTACGGAACGACTTGGATTGGGAGCAAGCTTTTAACTACGTTAGGACATTTAAAAATGTCTGGGTTAATATTGGACAGTCAAGCCAATATAAATAACGTTTACAGCAATGACTGTAAAAAATCTTTTTAGGTACTCCGTATTTTTGAAAATATTTATAAGGAATAAAATTGCTACTATTAAACGTAATCAAGGTACAGAGACGCTCATTACAGTTAACTTCCTTATTGCCCTAAAACAGCATTGATATACTCACACAATTGATTGCGAAAGCAGATAAACTTTTATGTGTGCTTTAGCAACAAAACCTATTTTCTTGAGTAATACTACATTCAAATGAGTATTTAAAAAAAGTTCCGGGAAGGATTAGATTATTATTAGAAGTGTTGCGACGCATGAGCGCTCATGACCCGTCACTGTAAAACGGCCTATATGTGAAAATTAATTTTAAATAATTCCCTTTTATTTACTACACAATAACTTTTATTTTAACTCACAAGAAACACTCGTCCATTCAATTTCAGCAGATTTAAACAAAAAAGTAGAAAATAATTTAAAAAAACAAGGATTAACTAATTATATCAACACTTTGTGGATCGAAGCATAAGCATTATAGAAATCTCTACATGAACTTCTATAGAATTTTGCTAAGGATTAATTTTTTCCCACCTATTCATCCGAATACTAAAAGCAGTTATTTACACTTACACTTTTTTATTATACAAACATCAGTCTTCGCCATACACATACATAAATACATTTTTGAAAAAAACGTGAAAAAATATTGTCAGCTTCAGTTAAACCACATAGATGGTGCATAAATGGACATCAAGGGGTGCCTTTACCAAAAATAAACCTTGTACTGACGAGTTCTATGTGAGGTTTTAATACCTTATTAAAGCATCACAAAATCTCGATTCAAATAAACGATGAAAAGTATACTCTTAATTGAAATGTATTAGTGATCTATCAATAAAGAAAATAATTGGAAACTCGGCACACGCAGCTTATAAATATACATTACGACCGAATATTGCGCACACAAAGTTTGAGGGGTGACCTAACCAATTTTAATATTGAGGTAGGTAAATTCTTAACAATTTATATCATTTATATTAGGTAGTATTGCAACTTTTGGGGATAATGATTACATTTTGTTAGGATAATTTGAAAGAGAGGAGAGTTTATTCGATACTTAATTGATCTTGATGAGAAAGGCAGTACCTACACTCATAGTTCTTTGTACACACTTTTTTGTAGTAATTAACACCTGTTTTACTGCCCACTGCGATGATAGAATCTTTTATTGACTGATTGCTTACACGTACAGGTTTTTGGGCTGTACAAAAGGAACGTTTTGTCTAAGTCTAGGTGCTTGTGACATAGCCAAAAGCCAGACATATTGTTCAAAATATACCATTGGATTCCGATTGAAGATTTTATCGTTTTAGATAAACAGCTAGATTTCATTTATCATATAATGTAAACAATTAGCAGATTAACCAAACAATTCATCTCAATCTAAGCGACACCGTATCTTAGTGCAATTGTAATGCAAAATGTAGTATGATAAGTGTTTGCAGTGACTCTTTCCGATTATATATGTTAAATTTATATTAGCCTGGAAATTAAACCCGCAAAAAAAACAAGTCTCAATTTGTTTTCTTTCTAAGATCAATTAAGTGACCCTAAAGAAGGCCAACTGATTTAAAAATTTAATTTGGTTACGTCCAAATCTTGCTGAGTTGAAATAAGTAACAACCACTTTGAACACATAATATCAAGTGTTAACCAAACTATATATTCATTATAAATACTTTAATATAGCAATCTCTCATTTAGCATCTATTATTATCTAGCGGTTTGATATGGTCCTTAGTATTTTGGGACTCTGCAGCTATTCATCACAACCTCCAATTTATTGGTCAGTCCCTTTTGTATGTATTGTTTTTTGAAATAATTTAAAACTAGCTGCAAATAAAAAAGAAAACTGTACCCACAGTGTCGGAAAGAAATGTACACTTACCGTATGTACACTGGCTCAGTCGATCATAAGGGCTTCTTACTGGGTGTAGGTGAGTTGCTTAGATTCTCCAAGTTAACTATCACTTGTACGATATAACCAGGGGGAATCTTGGCCTCCTCTACATGCAATTTATCTCCTAGAAGTTTTCCACCGTAAAACCACCGCTGTCGGGACGATTCTATACCTTCTTGACTCTGAAAATACATTGTTGAAAATTGATTAAAAACATTTTTCATTTCGAAGACTTTGTCGTAATAAATGACCATTCGATGGTCTAAAACTATAAAACCGCTGAACGGTCTAAACGAACGATTGAGACATCGTGTTTACATAAAATTAGAATATTTTGGTCACAACAACAACCAGTCATTGTTTCAATAAGTAAATGTTCATTTCGATTTAAAAATTAGTTATCATAATATAAGTCTGATGGGTTTAATAAGTAAAACTGTTAAAGCTTTCATTCTAATTGTTTTTTTTTCTCTCAGTTTAGGTTTTCCAAAATTGTGGTTCATCAAAGTAGGTAACTCCATATTTGAATTTCTATAACTCGACCCAAACGATAAATATCTAATTTTCCTGCCACGTTTTGCAACGAAATTTCCAGCCCATAACATGAAAAAGGTATCAATAAATTGTTTGCGTTTATCATCAATTATTAAAAAGGCAGTCGATGGCATATAAACTACCTGTTTGGTGGCCAAACACGACACATATAAATCAATAATTCAAAGCACTCATGTCCACTCACCTTTGAACAACGCATTCATTTAGTTTGATTCAACATTTTATTGTCTGGCATTATTTGTTATTATCATTGCTTGAAATACATTCGAACATTATATGAGTGCATATTCAAATATAATATTTCATAGACAAAAATTAATTCAAGAATAACCAGGTCAATAATTATTAAAAACTAGTCCGTTGATTGTAAATATATTCAAAAAATAGAAACCACAAATGCTTCTCAAGCTAAAATAATGTTCTTAAAACATCTAAATTTTATGCAGGAGTTAGGGATCGTTTACGTGTACCACATCTTAATAAGCAATTTGATATTGAAATTCGTACTTTGTAAAAAAATTCAAAAGTGTTACTTAATATGTGTGTTTTAATATTATTTCTCATTGATAACAAATAACAAATTATTAAGCAATAATAGAATACTTATTTTTCAACGTCCCTGGATACCGCGCTATCGCTTGTTCTTATCAGTTAATTACGGGATATGAAATTGAATATTATATAGAAAGGTGTATTTATAGATATTTCTTTTATATCGGTGACATTTTCACTTAACTGCCTGGAAGCAAATATTAGATAATGCAGTATGAATCCCAATTAAGTTTCAAATATTTCATACTAAGTAATAGGTATTAACTGATGGAAATGTGAAGATTAAGTGTAAAATTGCTGCTTAAAACTAGACACAATTTTAGATATTTCAAAAAGTTCTGAAAATGTTTCGACTCGACTCGAATATGATTTGTACGACGCTTTTGACTGCAATTTGGAATAAACAACTTAACAATGTAATGGGTTGACTTCAGTATCCAATTATCTACTAATTGACGAGTAAAGTAATTATGCAATATACTGTTAGGCAACACTAGTTGGTCAAAAGTAGGCGCTAATTTGAACCTTAATCTGAACCTGAATTAATTACGTTTGGTTCAATTTTTCTGGGGCCATACAACCCTTTCTTCGTAACCCGGCCTTTAACTTTTAAGGCGTTACCGGAAACTAAAATATTTAAAACGAAATAGGTATTTCAGTTAAAAAAAGGGCCAGTGGATAAGAAATGTTATCGCTCCAAAAAACTATGAATAATCCGATTAATGAGTCTCAAACTATATAGAACAAGATAGAATGTCTATTAAGGCACTCACCTGCAATTTCTTCTTACAAGCACCGATGCTATCCCTAGAGTACACGGACAGCTTTATATCACTACAATTGTGACTAAGCCGCAATTTTAAAACAGTTTCAGTGCCATCCTCGACAGGTTCGGACTCAATCGCTGGAGAATCACGACCATCCTCTTTCACTATGTTAATAGGGTAGGAAAGGCAGTAAATCGGCACCTGATACCTAAACCAAAAATATATAATTACAAATTTACTTTTAACTACACTGTGCCTCTAACCTGTGCCCTAATTGATCATAACAGTCTGTAATGTATCCATTCGGTACAAAGACACCAGCCCCATCAAGAATTGCTTGTGCCATTTCGTAATCCCGTTGTTCTGCTGCAACTGCTGCAGCTCTGTAGATTATAAATATTTATTTATTAGCTTATACATCCAGTTTAGTTTAATTGCTAAGCCTTGCCTTAGAGCGTCCCAAATTTCTTTTCGACCCTCAAAAGCGGGGGCGGTGTCCCAAAATTCATCTCTTTTTGATCGGAGTTGCCCTTCTGTAAGAGGCACATCCGATTTCCATCTGATAATCTCGTGCGCTAAGCGATACGTTTTATTGTGCTGATTACCTGAAAGAAAGTATTAATTGTCGTCATATTGGCTCCAATAATAGTTTTATTTATTGGCTTAAGTTTCACATTTTGTTCATGTTTCAAAGATGTTTTTCAGGTTGAAACACAAAAAGTGCAACTCGAATCAGTAGTCGTTTCAAAACTGTTAAGGGTACTAACATAAATAAAATATCTCTGTAAAGCAATGCAAGTCCGAATTAATCAGAAATAATACAATAATCAGAAATTTATGTTCCAGGTTTTACATTTCTCTGTATCTATTAGTAGTCTGTATAAATTTAAATTTAAGCGAGAGCTGAAGTTTTGGCGTCTTAATTTTGTCGGTAATAAATTTCGATCAGTTTCATTCATAGTTCATAAAAATTGCTGGTAAATGAGAATTAAAAAAATCAATTTGTTTTAGTGCTCCAAAATCCAGATTTTTTTTATAACTAAAGCAATTTACCTCCACTTCGCTTTTATAAAGTAAAACATTCTATTTCACTTTTTCACTTAAATGATCATATAAAATTACTGAATTACACAAAATTGAGAATGATTCAAATAATCCCATGTTAGAATAAAAGATTTTCAGTCTTATTTGAAGGCAATGCTAGAAATGTCAGTAACAAGCATTTTACCACAGTTACAGCTCCATAATTTGTTAATTAATCATTTGAATGATAATTAATCAATAGGTTTTGTAAGTACCTATGTGTATGTAAGTGCAATTTACCCTTAATCGCAGCCGACTGTTGTGTCTAAATATGCAGTAGATTCTAGTAGGCTGGAAATGTTTAACTGATTTGAACTTTATAGTTGTCTATTGAATCGAACATATTAAACGATATATAAAAGAGAACGCAGAATATGTATACCAATTACAAGTAGGACTTCCACCTTTACTTTTCTTAAACAAGTATAGATATTACATAGCACAAATGCAATACTGTTTTGAAGGAATGCCATCCATGTTATACAACTTCTGCATCTGGGAGTTTCATTTAGCTTTCAATCTGTAGCCAATGCATTTGTAAAACATTTCCTGTGCTTTCGGTCAGTTCTAACAATTAACTAACTGTGATCAGTCGAAGTATTTGATCATGGCACACACTTTCAATAACAACAATACATTTTTGCTTTGGAACTGTGAATTGCGGTGAACTAACCTGATGCAGGCCTTGTAACTGTTCCACTACTATTTCCCACAGCCCCACTGTGACTTCGAGAAATTCCTATGCAGCCACCCATAATGTAGGGGCTACTTTACGGAACATTGTAAGGGGCATCAACTGGAAAACGAGTTCGAAATAGCAAAAACTTCCCATTTTTCACCCATCACAATAAAGAGTTTAAGTTGAAATGAACGAAATGAACTTTCTGTGACATGAGTGACAGGAACAATTTAGGAATTTTGACATTAGTATGCCGTCTGACGATATAGAATAATATTTGCGAGAAGCGCAAACAAATCTTGTTCATGTAATTTTATACCATCCGTGTGTTACTGAGGCCTGAAATGCCAAAACTTTGCAAATTAGTTAGCTTCGTATAAAAAATTAGAGAAATAATATAACGAGCAACACGAATTAGCTATGTTTTATATTAAATCATAGAGACTGAATTCGTAGGCCATATAATTGTAATGTAAAAAGCAGACCCTCTTTGGTTACCTCCGACTAATGAAAAAATGTATTTTTTGCGTATATATAAAATGTTATTAATATCAAATCACTGGTTAAATTCGCACCATTAGTGTGACGCGAGCATCCGGCGTTGTTGGGGTAGGTCAGGTTTTTTAATCAAAACATTGTACTTTTACATATGCATTTTTTTATTTTCCGGTTTTGTGTGCCTCCAACGTGTTTGATCTACGTGTAAAGACAATTTATTTGTATGGTATATGTTTTGTACTATCTCAAATCGTTTAGGCAGTATATTTAGCGTAGCTTCTCGGCAACATATCGATTTAACTTTATCATTTTGAGGTTAAAGTTTAGCAATTCCATCGCAATAGAGTAATAATCGCAAGATTCAAAGTAAAAATTAAGGCTCAGTGTTTTTCCTAAAACCGGGGATTTTTAACAGTTGGAAGGTGGCGAATTTGGGTAATTTTCTGACCTTGATAAGGCGCGTTCTGAACTTTGGAGGTGTTCATAGAGAGGTGTTATAACCTCAAATCAAATACTCGTCAAAACAATATTTCTTCATTAATTTATCCGGTTACATTTAAATTTCCATTGAATTCCTTACATTTACAAATATACTATTTATTTCTGGTACAGCTAGAGAACCATGGCGTTGATACCTATGAGGTAAGATATTTCTATATGTATATATTTAATAAATATCTGCGGCCTATTTTGTTAGTGGGCATAATACAAACTGTTATGTTCTAGGTTGATTATCGGGTTTTAAGTACATTGCATTTAACACTTAAGTATGACTTTACTCTGAGACTATGACTACACATCTTTACTGTCAATTGCCTAATTGGCAGTTACATTTATGGACCGTCGCGGAGGTCAAGCAATGAGCGCCGCAATAGAGCGCCGCTGCATATATATATGCAGCCGGTAACTTACAACTCGCGTGAATGAGAATGTTGGAAGTTTTTTCCTTCAGTTAGACTGCCAGAAAGATTTCAGTGGGGACAATATGTAGATAAAGTGTACTAAGGGCTTTCATTATTAATTCTTTTATTCAGTTGAGTTATGTCAGTTGCTCAAGAGCTTATATATAAAGTAATTATACTTTCCTTACTTAACGATGTTTTATAAACAATATCCAATGAAATATAAAAAATCCTGTGGCGAAAAACCCACAATTATATTGATAACGGTTCAATTTGTTTTGTCAGCGCTTCGGTAAAATTACATTTTCCTAAATGTAATTACTAGCAAAAGTGAGCAAAGTTAATTTGAATGTTTTCCTCATTCTTCAACCTTATCACAACAAACTGTTCAATTCACACATGTGCAGCCACACAATGACACAACACAATTCAGTTAGCCGTACATAAAATTGTTTTCGTTGAATATCAATTTTGACTGAAAGTTATAGTTTACTTGATTATACAGAAGTGATTAGCCATAGCAAAAATAAGTCACATCAGACATATACAGGGTGGCCATTTTCTGAATCTTTGTATGGGTAACTTCTACATTTTTAAAGATAGAGAATTCGTTAAACAGGCAAAATTGGGCAGAATTCGATTGCCTATTCATTACCGTTTTCAACATTTAGGTACCCGACTTGGTTCCTGAAATATCCTGAAAAGACAAGAAATCAACACTTTTTTAGTTATCACTTATTACGTAAATTGCTTAACTTAGAAAAAAGCTAAAACTGCTCTTAGTTCAACTTTTTGCGTTGAATCCAATAAACTAGCACTCGTTATCATAGTCAACTTGATTTACGAGATAAAAATAAACTTATTGTTTTTTAAATGGTAACCATAGTTGGCTGTGGGCCTTTTAAAATCCTTATTTTTTTCTGAATTTAACGATATAATTGTTTGTATGTTTTTGTCCTTTCGTTGCCGTAAAACTTCAAAAGAAGATAAAAAAAATGTGTAGTAGGCTATGGAAACAAGAACTATAGTATCACACAAAGCACAAAACAATAATGAATCGTTTAAATTAAATGTTCAAATTGACTTCCGTTTACGTCCAAGCATTTTTGGCATCTTCACATTCAAGTGTGAGTTGTGATTATAAAAGAATGGACCAATAATTTTATCACTAAAAAAGCCTCACCAGACATTCACAAAAAAAACATGGATCTCGCCAATTTTCAATTAGATGATGAATAGCCCAGTAAACATGATTGTGTCTGTTAATTATTTCATTTTTGTTTTGTGCTTTGTGTGATAATATAGTTCTTGTTTCCATAGCCTACTACACATTTTTTATCTTCTTTTGAAGTTTTACGCCAACAAATGGAGAAAAACATTATATCGTTAAATTCAGAAAAAATAAGGATTTTAAAAGGCCCACAGCCAACTATGATTACCATTTAAAAAAACATAAGTTTATTTTTTATCTCGTAAATCAAGTTGACTATGACGAGTGCTAGTTTATTGAATTCAACGAAAAAGTTCTACCAAAGACAATTTTAACTTTTTTTCTAATTTAAACAGTTTACTAATTATATGATAATTAAAAAGTGTTGATTTCTTGCCTTTTCAGGATATTTCAGTAACCAACTCGGGTACCTACATTTTGAAAACGGTAATGAATAGGCAATCGAACTCTGCCCAATATTGCCCATTTAACGGATTCTCTATCTTTAAAAATGTAGAAGTTACCCATACAAAGATTCAGAAAATGGCCACCCTGTATATATGACATCTAGATCAACTTTTTAAAATAGAAACTTCCCTTTTGGCAATTTTATTTAGTTCTCTACAAAAATTGATCATTTTTTATGTAGAATACCCTATCTTTAACGGTTTTCTGGAAATTGGCACCAAGTCAAGCCAAGCTTTCGAGGTCGCCTGATCTCCCACCCTTCGATTACTTCTTATGGGATTATTTAAAATCCAAGGTTTGTGTAAATCGACCGCAAAAGATCGATCTTAAAAACAAAAATTAGGCAGAAAATTTGGAATATTGACAGAAAGATACTCAATAATGTTTATAAGATGAGTTTATACATCGGCTTAGGTATTGTCAAGAAACCAATGGATGGCAATTTGAGCACCTAATTTAACTCTTTTAGACTTAATTTTAATTAGTTTATCAATTTGAGTGGCAATTTTCAACGACTTTCAGACGCCAATTTCCGGAAAAGCGTCAAAGATAAAATACCTGATTTATTAACTGTGATGTTGGCAAATTTAAAACCGTACGATTGGGGCAATTTTTATGAAAAACATAGCTACCGATTATCGCTTAAAATGACCTAAATTCCATTTCTACCCAATTTCATTGTCCTGCGATAATCTCATTATTTATTTTCTAGAGCTTTTCGTATGATGTTAAACAGACAATGTAGGATAAAATATTTCAGAACACTGAATTACTCCAATTCGAACAATGAGCAGGGAAATGAAAAAAATGCCTTTAATAGTTCACATCTCTTAGTAAGCGCTTTAATTTCGAGTGTTGGATATTACTTTTTCGGTAAGTTTTTTCTTAAAATTTTATGATTTATTTACCACAATCAAAAGCATTGCGCCATTGATGTATTTTACAGTAACTGGAAAGAAAAGATTTGCAGTTGCCGAGGAAGCTAAGACGCACGTAAAAAACGACATTCGTACAGTTGCTGGACAGTTTCGACCAGATTTACCATCGTATTCTATGAAGGAGGTATCTAAACATGGCACCAAGTATGTAAAGTGATACAGTTTGGAATTTGTTCTAAGTTTTGTCCTTAACTTAGACGGTCCTTAAATAATTGATTCACTTATTCATTCAGGGAAAATCAAGTATGGGTTGTATATCGGGAAGGGGTTTATGATATCACGGATTTCATCGAACAACATCCCGGAGGAGAGCAAATAATGATTGCTGCGGGCAGTAGTGTGGAACCTTTTTGGGTACTATATGGAATACATGTGAATGACCATGTCTTCGAAGTCCTCGAAACTCTACGAATAGGTATTGAAATATGCTACGTACTTGCTATCTACAACCCGTATCACGTTCATTTTGTACAACGTTTACAACGTGTAAGCTGTATGGTCTGAGCAAGATAGAACCTTAGGATATCGGCTTTTCTTGACGGTCTTGAGTTTGAAGAGGGCGTCATGCGTTACAATATTTCTTCCTTCTTGTATTTAACTTCTGTCTGCTGCTTACTACCCTAAAGATTTGTGCGGTATTCCCATTGCCTAATTTATCATGGATGCTCTACGCTTTCAGTTAGAATGTTGCGGTTTATTGCACAATAAATAAAATCAAATAATAAGACTATTTTTCGAAACTTTCGGTTGGTTGACTCGAAATTCTAGGGGAAGCAATGCTTTTCTTGCTTCCATGGACCGCACGCCCCTATGATTCTGTATTTGTTTGCAGAATATGCGGTTAAACTTATACAAGCTATTTACGGGTAAATCTAACAAATAAAACAATCAACTCAAATATTTGAGTGGGATTAATTTGTTAGATTTGAGCATTTCTAGATATTGATTTCTAGTATAGATTGTACTTTATGGCGCTCCACAATTCAGTTCAAGATCCAACTAACGCAAACTAATTTTTAATGAGTGAACAGCAGAGCGTTATCTCTCAAATCAGACGCATTATTTTAAGTAATTTTATTTTATTAACAATATGTTCATCACATTCTCAGTAGCTTTGCTAGGAATTGCTGTTAGCGTTGCCAACAATTTTCAATCTCTTTAAATTAATTTATCCATAAGGGTTATTAACTAATTGCGTGTCTTATTATTATTATCTTGTAATTAAATATTTTTAGGCAACTTATCAAAATCAGATATAGTCAATGTGGCTGATGTGGGAGATCCTTACGCAAAAGATCCGATTCGTCATTCAGCTTTAAAACCTGCCAACATGAAACCATTCAACGCCGAAATATCTCCCGCCTTGTTATGTGAAAGTTTTATAACTCCAAAGTGCGTATGGCTTGCAACTCTGCAAATAGTGTGAATAGTCCATTCGTTGACGAAACAATGGATTTTAGCGAACTATTTTATGTAAGAAATCACCTACCTGTACCGGAAATAGACCCCCACTCGTATGAGTTAGAGCTAGAAGTGGAAGGAATTGATAGAACGGCAGTTTTTTCATTGGACGATTTGAAAAAGTTTCCAAAAGCCACTATTACTGCCACATTGATGTGTGCTGGTAATCGAAGAGCCGAAATGAAAAAAGTTTAGTTGCCAACATTCCAAACGACTTACCTAGTTGATCATTAAGATACATTTTAGGTAAAAACAGTAAAAGGTTTAGATTGGGGACCATGCGCAATTGGCAACGCAACTTGGAGCGGCGTTAGACTACGAGATTTACTCAAACAGGTTGGGGTTACTGAAGATGAAGAGATATTGAAACACGTTCATGTAAATGCATAAAAAATCCTTAAAATGTACGGTAAACGACAGGAATCGTTTTCAGTTTGAAGGTCTAGACTTAGATGTAACGGCCACGCAGTATGCAGCTTCAATTCCCATTTGGAAAGCGGTGGACAGGCGAGGCGACGTGATCTTAGCTTACGAGATGAATGGAGTTCCAATACCACCTGATCATGGGTACCCCATTAGGGTTGTTGTACCCGGCGTAGCAGGAGCGAGAAATGTGAAATGGCTTGGTAAGTTATGACCTATTAATGATAGCACTCTTTATGTCTTCTGAAATAAAATTTCGCCATTTCTGCCTTTTCGTGTAGGTGCATGTGCATGATAGGTTGAAGTTATATAAGAAAACAAAAATTTTATTTAATTTGCAGCCTTATTATTATTTCGAAGCATCCTAGTAGAGTTATTGCGAAAGGAAGGCGGGATTGTGTGTTCTTGTAAGATGTAGGAGATGCTGTATGTTGTGTCAGTTGTTATTCCATTTTATTTGTATTTGGAGCAGTCGTATTCCGGTTATATTTTTTTAATATGTACTCGAATCACACAATTTGTATAACATACAGGGTGAATCAGCAAAGCGACACCTCTTAGATCTTACAGCAAAAAACGTTAAAATAAAGATGCTACTTTGCGTTTACCTTCCATTTTTAATTTAAAATAAATCAAATTTTAGAAGATTTGCGACTAAGGGCGAAACGTATTTATTTTTTGCTTTATTATACACATTCTTTTGTCATTTTAATTTTTTTTAGGAAAGATTGTAGTATCAGAAAAAGAAAGTACCTCTCATTGGCAACAAAACGATTACAAAGGATTTTCGCCATCGATAGATTACGATAATGTCGATTTCAGCAAAGCTCCATCTATTCAAGAATTACCTGTTATCTCTGCAATCTGTAAGCCATTAGAAGGAGAAGTTGTTAAAGTGGAAAATGGATACATCAATCTTAAAGGTACTGATATATGAATTGCATAGTGACCTAAGATATAAAGTATTTGTGACATAAGTGAAAGTTAGCAACTAAAACAGTTTGATGCCAATGAAACATAGCTTTGAATTGTGCCTCAACAATATATTAATAAGTTTTGAAAATAAGAAGTAATACACTGGATTATTCTTTTTATTTAAGGATACGCTTGGTCAGGTGGAGGCCAACAAATAATTCGAGTTGACTTGACCTTAGACGAAGGAAAAACTTGGCACATAGCAAGCTTAGATGCTCAAGATACAGCTTTGCCACCCCAACACTGGGCTTGGACTCTTTGGTCGGCTAAACTGCCTGTTGCTCCGGAATTCAAAGAGGTAATTAAGTTCAACTTAGTATTCATATGATCAGGAGCTTGCTTCAAATCCAAATTATGATATTCAAGCTGCTTCAAAAGTGTCAGACTTCTGTTAGAAGTAAAATCTCAACTCATATTTTCAACTGCAATCTAGATCTGGCCCAAAATTAATAAAATTTGGACCCCAAAATGCACTTGTGGAGATTTATAGTGTTGAAATATAATTTAAAAATTGCAAAATTCTAGTTTCTAGAAACCCATGAAGATAATAGTATCATTGGTTAAGAAAAAAGACGCACAATTTATATAAGAAAGTAAATACTTATTAAGTTTAACACAATTAAGGATTTCTGTATTTCCATCGACAAAGTGTTTTCTTAAGGTTGGACAGAAGTAAAAGACTGGTTTTGAATGTCCAGGCAACCTCACTCTCTGTGTTTATCTATGGTTGCTTGAGCTTTTGATATTTAAGAAGCAACAGTTACTTACCATAGATAAAGACAAATACTTACGTAATGTTAATGAGACGTAATATCTGGAAAAAATTAGTTGCAGACCTTATGATCTAGATTTTGCAAATATCTCAGTTTTTGATAAGAATATTTTTTTTAAAGTACTCCGTAAACAGCGGAAAAGGCATGACGCCAATTTTCAATCATCCTGTATTGATCGCCTCAATAATTATTATTGCATTATTAAAAAATTGAATTTATTTAACAGGACAATGTGTTTTAGGTTGAAATTTGGTGCAAAGCAGTCGATTCCTGCTACAATACTCAACCAGAGAGATTCGAAAACATTTGGAACTTCCGGGGAGTTCTGAGTAATGCATATCATCGAGTGAAAATTAAGTTAAACCAATAAATACTCATTATTCTTATTATCTTTTGACTGTTCGATAGAGCCTCGTTTTCCAATACTCCTTAGAATCTCCCGAAACGATCGTTACATCTTTATTACTATATTTGTAATGGATTCTAATAATTTTTTACTAGAACACTAGAAAACTGCTAAAAATTAAACAAAAAACTAAACTGAAAATCGTTATAATAAAAGTACGCGGGGACAAAAAATGTATATTATTAACTTTATTATATACTCTATATATATTAAAATTTGCTTTCTTGAGAGAAAGAATCCATAAATAGACGATATATATGTACTTAGATAAAACTATCAAAATTTGTGAAGGATGTTGATGTAATACGACTATCAATGCGCGGTTCAATTTGAATGATTATAAATAACAAAAGTGAGTTTCCAACCTTCTGCAGTTCATAATGTGGTTTTCTGACGAATTTTTGTTTTCAAGTGCGTATTGCTTGCGCGTTTGAATGTAAGCCCAATGTGCTGCGTTCCAGAATTTCAGGAAATTGTGTTGTTTTGCAAAGATTCTGGAGAATTCAGTTAATTTGCATTAATTGGAAATAGTTGACTTTCAGTTGGATGTACAAATTCAACGTGACATTAATATTATTTAGTAAACAAATAATAATTGTGCGTAAATAATAAAAGTCCAGTTCTATCGATCGTATATCGATAGGAAACACAGTAACAGAAGAAACATATGCCCAGCTGATAAATTACGTCATAGTTATATTTGTCGGCTACCTTTTATATGTGTCATATGGATGTCATGTCAAACACATAGATAGTTTGTTTATTTAATATGTTTAATAGTGTTTTTTTGCAAGTGGTTTAAAAGTCAAAGAAATGAGCAGAAAAACAGGAAGTTTGGAACTGCTCGACATGGACCCAAACCATTTTGGCAAAGAAAATTACCGTTCCGAAACAAAAAGCCTGAATTTAGGCAAAGGGCAAGATTCCGTAAGTACCTAGGTTTAAGGAAAAGTTGCGAAGATTTGCCCCCAAAATATAAATTAAGATTTAGGCACAAGAATGCTACTGAAAGCATTTTACTTGCAAATTTTGTTTACTTAATTCGTCGTTATATATTAAATAATAGACTTTGCGGGCGTAAGTAAGGAAAATAGGCAATAAGTGACTTACGTTTTTAGGCCAATTGGGGCAAGACTTCACCTAGTAAAAGCTACTGTTCTTCAAGTTCTACTTCAACCGAAAATGTTGTCTCCACATTAGAGAGGAAAAAGGTGGGTACACACTAACTTGCACTACTATAGTCTCGGGTGGTTGAGTTATTATTTGTTTAATATAACTGCTTAAGGAATAGCGTAACGCTTAAGTATTTTGGGATTCTTCGATGAATCTTTTAAGGAAGGGCAAAAACATCTGGTCATAACAAAGGAATTTTGTTTTGTAGAAAAACTACAACCTTTAGGACATATGTGAATGTCCTTCCTCGAAATGAACTCAAACATAAATTGCTTGAATATTACAATGTTATTACACAGTAGCATATTAGCTTGAATATTATTATGTTAAACCCAGTATGAGATAATCATTTTGAAATAAAGGAAGAAGGAGAACTGTACTTAAACATCTAATTCTATTTAAAGACATCAAATTAAAATTTACCAATAAAGCACTCACGTTGGATTCTATATGTTTACCAACTTTTCCATGAAAACACTCGAAGAATTTGCATTCGTATCCTCACCTGATGTAGTTAAAGTCGAGGTGTGTTATGGTTCTTGCTGAAAAAATCTTGAAAACCGACTAATTTTCACTGTAGATCAATAGTGTGCAGCAACTTATCGGCAGATCTTGAAAATCCTGTTCAATCTTAAACTGAACTCATTTTATTAATTAATTTAGTTTTTATTTACTTAGAAATTTTACATTTTACTTTTAACTGCTCCTTAATTAATAAAATGTGTATTAAAAACTGCATTACAATTTATGCAACTTGTGGTCTGGTGTGTGGTATACATATAAATAAATGAGCTTATTAGTAATCAGCACAAGTATTCTTTGGGTTAAAAGAATTGTGGCTCGATTTTAGCAAAATTGCTATATATTAAATTATTTGTTTCAATCTCTCCGTACAATAAATATTTCAATATTTAATCAACGTATAATTGCTTAGTAAAAAGAATATTCAGTAAAAAAAAATTTCATTTATAGCTTTTTTCACCTTCCAAAAACTCTTAGTTTAACATATACGTGTTAGATAAGCGGCAAGTGAGTATGGTAGGTATCATCACATGTTTTCTAACTATTAATAGGAAATATAAATATTAGATTGACTAAAATTAGCGGCCCAAAAATGCATAAAATGCACTGCGACGCATATTCGCTAACTTTTAACTGAATATTTTTTAAATCAATCCTATTTAAGGATACTATTTTTTAGAATCAGTTCTATTCTTGGACAGATTTAAAATTATATGGTAAGCAAAAAAATGTAATAAAATATGGAACAGCATGTCGAAATAGTGTCATGGTTTTTCGGTTAAAGTTTAAATCCGACTGCGGGCAAAATCGATTAGCTCAGACAGAAAAAAAAACAGACAGTGTTATATTAATCGTCTGGTGTGTTGTTGAGTTGGTTTAATGTTGAGTCGTTCGAAAGATATTTATTTCTATAAGCGGTCATATTTTCCACACGACATTTATTTAAACTTTTTTATTCCGAAAAAGGCTGCACTGACAGAATTAATAGTAATTTAGTAGTAATTTTAATTACCCCATGTCTAGTGCATAATAATATAAAATGTGTTATAAAAGTGCTGCATATTGCAGTAAAATTTATTGGTGCTATATAAATTTGATTTTCCAAGATTGACTGACTAATGTATCGGGATAGTAATTTATAGTAAATTGAATTTACTGTAAAATTCCTCCAATAAGTTTTTCTGTTTGCCAATTTGAAACTTTTGCCTAGGCTCAAGCAGCTTCAGAATCTGGTACTCTCAATCGGCCCGACGACTTGCCATTATTACCCGGAGAAAAGGTAACTGGACAAGCTAGAGATGTCACTTACTTATGTCCATATCAAGGTCCAGCCAGAGGGATGCTAACCGTCACCAACTATAAACTTTATTTTCGATCAGCAGATAAAGATTCAAATATTATTGAAGTGCCATTGGGAGTTGTAAGTATGAACTGAATTCTAATTTTGCGAGTTTTAGTTTAGTTTATACACCTTTTTACATAATAATTTAACTAATCTGATTAGAAGCTATTCAGTTTGCAACTTTAATTTAATTTAATTTAAAAATGTGAGTTTAATACTAGACAAACGTATAATTAATTTAAATTCGACCAACTGAACATTCTCGCTGATATATTCGGAATAGTGGTGCAAAGAACCCAATTAAATAATTCGATTAACTTTTATAAATATCTTCAATTAAATGTGCTATAGCTATACGATACAATACGAGACGTTCTCTCAGACGCATTACTTGGATTTTATGGTATCGCCCGCAGTTTTTCGAATGTTTATGTAATAAATCTCTATAGGTATCTCGAATAGAAAAAGTAGGTGGTGCATCATCAAGAGGTGAAAACGCCTATGGAATAGAGATATTCTGTAAAGATATGCGCAACCTAAGGTTTGCACATAAGCAAGAAAACCACTCGCGTCGCACTGTATTCGAGAAGCTGCAAAGATTTGCTTTCCCGCTTAGCTGTAAGCTGAAATTGTTCGCGTTTGAAAACCAGGAAGTTTTTAGCGAAAATGGGTGGGCTGTATATGAACCGATTGCTGAATTAAAACGAATGGTAATTACATTATTTTATATAGTAATTGACTTGTGTAAGACACTTATTGCTTTAAGGGGGTAAACAATGATATGTGGAAAATAACGAAAATCAATGAACACTACACGATATGTGACAGCTATCCAGCGGTTTGGGCTATCCCAGCTCAAACTAAAGATGAAGATATCCAGGTTGTTTGCAGTTTTCGCAGCAGAGGTACGATTTACACATACTGAATGAGGGCTCGGTTCCTTGACACATACTGAATGAGGAAATAGTACCTTTTCTCGCGCGGTGTATTCAACTTTGGCTTTACAAATCGAACACTCCCTATTTCTGGGGAGGACTGAGAAAAATTGCTACACAAAAAAACCTTAACCTACGAACCCTTGACAACATTCTAATGCAACAAAAAGCGTTTTAAAGATGATTTTATTACGAGTAATAAAAAAAATGAAGCGGAAATAATTTATTTTGAGACATTTTTTTTGGAATCCTTTCCAGCATCGACTTTGTGGTAGCTTTGTTGGTTTTTCTAGCGGCAGAACTCAACTTTACTTTGAATTCTGGTAGGGTTTTAGCTTATTTTTTCGTTTCTTTCAAAGCTCTTTTAATCAACGTCTAATGTCGTTCGATTGGGCGAACCTCTGGGCAACTTGGTGGATTGGCTTTTCTAGGCAACAAAACGACTATTCATTTGGCCCCATTCTACAGCTCTCTTACTGTGGCGACACCAAGCCAAGTCTGGCCAAAAGGAAGTTCAGACTTTATGTTGTTTCATGAATGGCAACAATATTTTTTGGACACACTATATTACGTAAATTTCGGTGTTTATCGTTCCTTTCGTTACAAAATATTTCTTTCTTCTTGGGAAACTTTGATTTTATCTTAGTCTTGAACCATCCATTGATTCCTCCGCGCGCAATATTTTTTTTGTAAAAAATCAGTTCAATTTTTGATCCCGTTTTTTTTTGCATCCAGATTCTTACTTGGAGTTTAGTCTGGTGTCGTCTGCACTTTATAAGTCTTGAAGCCCATTTTGGTTTCGATGAATTAGCACGGTTTTTGTGTGTAGCGATTTTTTCTGACTCAGTCCTTGTAAGGCTAGTCACTACTTACTACTACTAGTTTGCTTATAAGCCGCGCTGATGTTGTCCGCATAATGTTAACAAACTATTCGTTTTTTATGTTTTTTTAATTTTCGTTTTTATTTTGATCCTGTTGATCCTGTTTGACATCCTGTTGCACTATGCTCAATTCTAATAACTACGTTACTTCCTGCCTTACCGCGATATCAATAACCGCATCGATAAAATGATACATACATCAACTGCAGTGATAACAACTAGAAGCCTAAACACATTTTTTTCTCAGATGCAGGCAAAATCGATTTGTTATAATTACCTACGGTCAAATTAATAAAAAAATATATTTTTTAGTTAATTAAATTAAATTAAAAATTAAAATTTAATAAATTAATTTTAAAAAAATAGTCGTTTATTTACAAAAAAATATATTTTACGAAAAATAAGCTATCGAATAGAAGAAAATTGTAGTTTGTTTTAGGGAAGACACTGATAAAAGACAAACGTTTCTTAAACATACAATTCAAGAATTTGAGTATATCTTGGGTAAATACAAAAATCTTATTGGTGATATATAAAATAAATCTGTATGTAAAAACCTTCAAAACTGCAGCAAATCTATCAAAGACAATCAGAACTATCACCGTGACTCTGCTAATGCTGACAAATCCTGGCATTCTAATAGAAAGAAGAAACTCAACCTCTCTGAGATTTGTGATTTAGTGTTTTAATTTCAAAAATAATTAGTCACACCAAATATGCCATGGACTCATTTGTGCAAATGAAATTAAAATAGTTGCTTAAGCATGCGTTTAATACACTTCCTTGAAAATGTATGCTAATTCACGTTCTCAATTTCGATTGTAAACTTTTATCAGGAAGACTGCCAGTTTTGAGCTGGATTCACCCTGAATCGCAAGCTACGGTTACGAGATGTGCCCAGCCTTTAGTTGGGGTGAGAAGATCAGAAAACTTTTCGTAACATTTACGTATTATAATAGATTTGTAATAACGCAGGTAAGTGGGAAAAGGTGTCGAGAAGATGAGCACTACATTCAATTGATAATGGACGCAAATGCACAGAGTCATAAAATGATTATTATGGACGCCAGACCCACAGCAAACGCAATTGCAAATAAGGCTAAAGGCGGAGGGTAAGTAATAAAGAGAATTGAGGAAAAACATTCCATTTGGAACGAGGTGCTTTTTAGCTATGAATCTGAAGATGCCTACCAGCATGCCGAGCTGGTTTTTCTGGATATCCACAATATTCACGTTATGCGAGAATCGTTGAGAAAGTTAAAGGAACTTTGCTACCCCAATATTGAGGAAACCAAGTGGCTGAGTGGAGTAGAATCTACATATTGGCTAAAACATATAAAATGCATTTTGGCGGGTGCTGTAAGGATCGTTGATAAGGTAAACTTTGTTATTAAGTTACAAATAAAGGACGGGCCAAAATATGAAATGGTTCTAAGGTGGAAAACCACAAAACATCTGTACTAGTCCATTGTTCGGATGGATGGGACAGAACTGCTCAATTAACGGCTCTTTCAATGCTACTGCTCGACCCATATTATCGTACGATTAGAGGTTTTGAGGTGTTGATTGAAAAGGAATGGTTATCCTTTGGTCACAAGTTTCAGCAGGTAACTATTTGCTTGCCATTATCGTACGCGCTATCTATAGTGATATAATCTGATCATTGAAGCGCGTTGGCCATGGAGACGAACATCATAGTGACGCCGATCGATCACCTGTATTTCTACAGTTTATTGACTGTGTTTGGCAAACGACGCAACAGTTTCCTAACGCTTTTGAATTTAACGAGCATTTCTTAATTACCATTTTGGATCATCTGTACTCTTGCAGATTTGGAACATTTTTGTTCAATAGCGAGAGGGAGAGAGCTGTGGAAAGTAAGTAGTTTTTTTCAATAATTTGGAATGTCTTAATTATATGTTAAACAAGACGGACCTGGCGTATTGTTGTCGGAAGGAGAATATACAGCTATTTGCGAAATACAAAATCAGAAAGTGGTTTCAATGTTTTAGTTTCCCATCTGAAAATTACTTTAACATTAAGAATTTACCTGCTGTTTTATATGTAAACAAAAAAGTAGCAACGAAAACTAATAGGCAAATGGAAAGACCGTATAATTTTACTGATGGCGCTGTAAATTCGACACTGTAATCAGTTAACAATAATTCAATGCTTCTATATTTAGTTTTTTATGTATACAGGGTGGCCATTTTCTGAATCTTTGTATGAGTAACTTCTACATTTTTAAAGATAGAGAATCCGTTAAATGGGCAATATTGGGCCGAATTCGATTGCCTATTCACTACCGTTTTCAAAATGTAGGTGCCCGACTTGGTTCCTGAAATATCCTGAAAAGACAAGAAATCAACACTTTTTTAATTATCATATAATTTGTAAACTGCTTAAATAAGAAAAAAAGTTAAAATTGTCTTTGGTAGAACTTTTTGCGTTGAATTCAATAAACTAGCACTCGTTGTCATAATCAACTTGATTTACGAGATAAAAAATAAACTTATGTTTTTTTTAAATGGTAATCATAGTTGGCTGTGGGCCTTTTAAAATCCTTATCTTTTTCTGAATTTAACGATATAACTGTTTGTATGTTTTTCTCCTTTCGTTGCCGTAAAACTTCAAAAGAAGATGAAAAATGTGTAGTAGGCTATGGAAACAAGAACTATATTATCACACAAAGCACAAAACAAAAATGAAATAATTAACAGACACAATCATGTTTGTTGGGCTAATGAAAATCATCATCTAATTGAAAATAGGCGAGATCAGCGTGTTTTTTCTGAATGTCTGGTGAGGCTTTTTTAGTGATAAAATTATTGGTCCATTCTTTTATAATCACAATTTAAATATGGAAAGATATTTTTTTTCCGTTAGCATCATATCGCAAATTGGCATATTTTCAACATGATAGTGCACCTTCACACAACTCACGAGTTGAATCTGAAGATGCCAAAAAATGCCTGGACGTAAACGGAAGTCAATTTGAACATTTAATTTAAACGATTCATTATTGTTTTGTGCTTTGTGTGATAATACAGTTCTTGTTTCCATAGCCTACTACACATTTTTTATCTTCTTTTGAAGTTTTACGGCAACAAAAAGAGAAAAACATACAAACAGTTATATCGTTAAATTCAGAAAAAGATAAGGATTTTGAAAGGCCCACAGCCAACTATGATTACCATTTAAAAAAACACAAGTTTATTTTTTATCTCGTAAATCAAGTTGACCATGGCAACGAGTGCTAGTTTACTGAATTCAACGCAAAAAGTTCTACCAAAGACAATTTTTACTTTTTTTGTAATTTAAGCAGATTACGAATTATATGATAATTAAAAGTGTTGATTTCTTGCTTTTTCAGGATATTTCAGAAACCAACTCGGGTACCTACATTTTGAAAACGGTGATGAATAGGCAATCGAATTCTGCCCAATTTTGCCCATTTAACGGATTCTCTATCTTAAAAAATGTAGAAGTTACCCATACAAAGATTGAGAAAATGGCCACCCTGTATACCATGTCACTTTTTTGCTTGTAAGGTGAGATTTTATGGTTGGCGTGTGTCTATTTAAGTTCTGAAGAGCACAATTTAAAAACTAACCACAAATACAATGTAACCTTGACATGTTCTTCAACCAATATCTTCCTAGGTGGAAGTCGGCGTTGTGATTTGCTAATTTATGAAATAGTAATTTTAACTTTTAACGCCAATTTTGAATTAAACTGTATTATTTCTTAAATTATAAAACGTAAATATTATACTAAATTTCCAAACGTTTACGCATGTTTTTGCAGAAATCAAGGACAATACCGTTTCGCTTTGGTCATATACGAACAGCAATTTGGATCTGTATAGAAACCCACTTTATTGGGCTAATGCCAAACAGGAGCGTGTGCTTGTTCCCATAGCAAGTATTCGACATATTAAACTGTGGAAAGCCTATTACTGTCGGTGGAATCCTAGCATGCGAACGCAGGTAGGGCAATTGATTAAATACCCAATATTAAATGTTAATAATTGATACTTTAGGATCCTGTATATCAACGAATATGCGAATTGCTAAAGCTTAAAGATCAATTGGAGAACACAGCACAAGAGTATAGAAAGGAACAGCAGCAACGCATGACTAGAAGCAACGTCAGCCCTACATGATGTAAAGTGTTATTGGAAGAGGCTTTGGATTAAGACTGTAAAAAACGCAGTATTTTTTTCATCCATCGGAAATATTATCTGTTCATTTCTAGTTTAAAATGTAATCAGTAAAAAATAATATTCATACGTATGTATAAAATTACTAATAAGCCAGTTTATATTTTGTACCAAAAAGTGTGTTATTTGATTTGTACAGCTTTATTGCATATATATTAATTCTTAAATCATAAATATTGTTTTTATAACATTCTGAGATAGTTGAAATATTACTGAAAGTTAAGACGAAATAGTAGATTATAAACTGAATTGAAATCTCCCATGAAATGTGTGTGCACCCAATCGGATAAAGTTTTCTTCTGAAGGTCTGAGTCTATTTTGCAAAGCACCCACAGGGAATAAGAGAAGAAGCAGTCTACACGTTTCATTTGCATCACAGATCACAGAGGTTATAGATTGGAAACTGCCAAATACGCCTGTAGAATGCTATTTGTTGCTTATCTCAGCGGCTGCAATGAAAACTAAACTCTAATTTCCACTACTGGCAGAAGAAATCTTCTTTATCGATTGGGTTTACATCGAAATTTAGCGGGGTATTTGATTTCAGTTTATGACCTCTGTGATTTCCGTAGGTCTCAATAACATTTCAAGCATTTCATCATGCTCCTTAATTGTGATGTTTATGCTAGGGCTTCAATTAACATCACAATTAAAGGGCAATATGAGATACTCGAAATATTATTGAAACTTCAACGGAAATCACAGAGTTCGTAAAGTGAATACAAATCGCCTGCTAAAATTGTGTTCGTGTGAAAACTAGGGCAAATCGGGAAAATAAAGCACATTAATTTATCTCTACAATAGGTATTTATTAAACTAAAAAACCTAGAGATGTAATTTATATTGAGATTACATGAGTTAGATCGTGTAGTGCTTCAACAAAACTTGAAATAAGTTTTATTCACATTAAATAATAAATATGTTGAACAAATATGCAGAAGTGTTGATATAATCCAATTATT